TTAATTTATTCTCATAAAATCTTACTATAACTTGAAAAATAAAATCCCTAATTTAATAGTTCTGCCTTTAAAATCATCAGTGTCTCTTGATGAATAACCAATTTCAAATACAACTTCTCAATACGTCTAAAGATAATCGTTAGAAGTTTTATTTCCTGAATGACCACAGTCCTTAAACTAATCTCTCCATTATATTGAATGATAATCGTCAACAATCTAGTTTCAAACACAAGTTTCTTTTCTACACATCCCATTTCCTTTTCAACGGACCAAATTACTATCATAAAATTTCTTGGACAGCTTTCCAATATATTAAGGCAATTCTATTTTTCAAGATTTCCTATTCTATTTAATTAAACAATTACAATTTCTTGCCATCCCTGGCTAATATACAAAGTTATTTAAATTCTTATGAGTTCGATATTATAGCCCTTAATTTTCTAAGAGGACGTACCAGTTCAAACTTCTACTCAAATTCAAATCAAAACTGTTTATGTTCAGTTAAATGCATTATAACGTTCCTTCTTAAGTTCTTTTCACTATTAAATGTCATTATATCTGAAGGTAATTAAGTTATGCGACAATGTTTCCTTTATAAAACACTCAAGTTATTAAGTTTATTTTAATAAAGTTCCACCGTGATTAAAATCAAAAGTTTTCTAGTAAAATTCACACAAAGTCATGTTCATCAAAAATAAATATTGTCACTATAAAGTACTTACATTTTGTCCATAAAACACACGTAAAATTACTTAATTAATTACTCAAAATATTTAGCTAGCACGCACATAAATTATTGAACGAATTTCAAATGTTATTACTTTCACGATTTTTCGTAAATTTTCTAAGTTAAATTATACCCGAGGCCATAAGCCATAAAAGTAACTTTTCGCGAAACTGGACAGACTTTAACTCAAATGGACGACTCAACTGTTTACTGGCAACTGTTTTACTCCTTCTAAAATTGCGCTTTTTATATAAAATCAACGCTCCCATTTCTCTTTGTCCATGACAATTAAGATGATGCAATTTCCTTGGAATTTTATATTATTTTTAGTCTAAAAATCGATTAATTATGTCGCAATAATCTGATTTATTGAGGTCAAAACTTTTTGGGTTCAAGAATGCCATATATCATTCGAATTAATTAGGTACGCATTGGCCTTGTTAACAAAAAAGTTCATTGATCGGGTGTTAGGATTACATCACCTCGTTTTTATCAGTTTTTAAGAATTTAATTTAGATCGACTTGGCCGGTGTTGCAATACTTTAGCGATAATTTGTTTTATTTTTAATTTATCGAATACAGATTTATAGATACGGAAATTCAGTTTTTGATTGTTTGATTAATTATTTGATTTTTACAGTAATTGACATTGTGATTTATGAGTCTATTTTCTAGGAATATTACAACTGCTACCTTTGCAGATATTTTGTACGTGACTCTACATCTTAATTTGTCTCCAGGAATCGTAGACTTCTGCCGAAGGAAGCTATTTTCCTGGGTGTCAGTTGGCCCACTTCTTCTGGTGAGTGTTGCCTTCTCGAGGAATTTGAGCCTCTTGCAGAATTGGGCTGGACATTCGCAGAGCAGGTGCTCTGCGGTCTCTATTGCCTCTGAGCAGAATCTGCAGAGATCGTCTTCCGCTTTGCCCATTAACCTTAAATGGTATTTTACTAGGCAGTCCCACCACCAGTCTAATGTCTGGTCTGCACCAGGGCCGGCTCTAGGTATTTTGCCGCCCTGGGCAATGAGTAAATTTGCCGCCCCATCCCATGGCCCGCTTAGGGAAAATGTGAGAGATCTTGAATTGTAGAAACAAAAAATAATTACATGAAACAGTAAGGCATATCATCATAGCAATAAAACCACATACTATATTATGTAACTAAGGTAACCTCAAAAAAAAAACTAACATAAGAAAACAAGAAACAAACAAACATAGTAAGAGTCAGCCAATCCAAGCTCTTGGCAACAATCAACAGATACATTATGTAGATGTACCCTAATAGCACAAAAACGTTTCAAAAAATTATCCTATCGGACGTCAGAACGTTTTAAAAACGTCAGTAAAAGTAACTGGGAATATCCAAAGGTGCATTTTTATTTGGTTCAAATGTCATTTCAAACGTCATATAGACGTCGAAAATGAGCATTTCAAAAATGCTTCAATACGAACGTTTAAAAACGAAAAAGGACGTTTTTCAAAGATCTCTATGAACATTCACTGGACTTCCTTCAAAGTATCCAATACCATCCAATAGACTTATTTTATAGGTAGTGCAAATATCACAGTTACAAACAACCTTTTAAAAACGTCTTTTTCGAAGTAATTTCCGGACGTGTGGACGTGGGATACATGTTTCCAACGGTGTTCCCGAAAACGACCAACAGAAACCTTTATAAAACGTCTCTCATGACTTTTCATGAAAACTTATTTTAACGAACTCATAGAAAACATTCTGACGTTCTCTAATTGTTCCTAACAGAGGTTTTGAAAACAACTTAATCAAACGTCTAAAGAACATCCTTTCTTAACGTTTTTAAAAACACTCGGACATGAACATTACCACGTGCAGAAACAGTTAGTAGTTTCCAAAACTTTTCTTTCAGAACTTTATACTTATGGACGTTTTGTGAATATATTTCGAAGCTCTTTTTTCGTCGTTTTTAAAAATTATTTTGTGCAAACGTTTATACAACGTTCTATTTTATTCCTCGGATGTTTCGACGTTGAACGGACTTAAAAAAAAAAAAACGTCCATCGTACCTTTTGTGTCATTAGGGTAAGTAGGTACATTTTCAATGAAATTATTGGGATATTATTTAAGATATTTTCGAGCTTTGAATGCAGCAAAATCTTCAAGTAGATGATTCATTTTTAATTTAGCATCGATTTCATGCTCAATAGCAATCATTGCTAACATGCTCACTGCTTACCTTTTCTTGGGCGAGATGATCTTGAATACGTTTTTATTAATTTTAATTTAGAGAAACTTTTCTTAACACTTGCAAGAGTTATCGGCAATGGTAATAGAATTCTGAGGATCTGAGGGCCACAACAACATTCGGTGCAATATCCAGTTGGAGTGCTAATTTTAACACATCAAAAGGATTTTGATTGGGCTCCAGTAACGTCTATCACATAGTTCATCAGCTAATTATGCCACATTGACATCGAAAGAATTGTCATGCATGAGAAAATACATATTATAAATTTTCGCAATATTCCGATAACTCTTCTAGATGAGGTTTTTTGTAGTAAATGGATATCATATGAGAAGTTGAAATGCCCACTATGCTGGCTTAATTGTCTAAAATGACACCTATCCTATCATGCAGAGGTTTGGTACATCGATAGGAAGTTTTCAATGATTACTCATTGAAAACTTCCTATCACTAGTTGGGGTCATTTGAGAGCTGTTTGATCATATTTACCCTTATGCAAATTTTTTTGAGATATCAGCATTTTTAGATATTTTTGGGAAATATTTGAATTGTTCCTAAAACATATTGATTTTTTTTGGAATAACCATTTTAACCTTTCTCAATTTTTTTTTTCCGATATTCCTGATATGCACTCTTTCGAAAAACTCGGAAAGAGAATCCGAATGATTGATACAAAAAATATGTAGCCCAAGTTATGTGTTAAAATACATGGATTCAAAATTGTCCTGTCAGTCAAAGCTAATTATTTATAACACTATCATTCAGCCTCATTTTGACTTTTGTGTCTCATTGCTGTACATGTACCTACAAGGAATAATGATCATCTATTTATTCCAAGAACGAATTTCAAGAGTACAATAAACTCATTGTTTTTTAAGGGGCTTTCAGGAATTTAACAGTCTTCCAAATGATATCAAGGGCCTTCCCTCAGTCCAGTGTTTCAAAGATGCGCTGAGAATTTACATTCAGGCTAAAGATTGATTAATTTACTATTGCATTTACTGTATTGATGTGATTGGGTAATGTGCAGCTATCTTCGTAGGGTTTTTACTTGCATTTTGTAGATAGTTATTTGTATGTCTAATGGATATTTTTTGTGTATATTAGGTGTAGTACTAACCTATTTAATAAAGATATATTTAATTTCATTTCATTTTCATTTCATCTATTCCTATAACGTTTAGCCTTTTAAGTTACAGACTCCTTTTCTTGCGGTCAGCTCTTAGACTATTTCTCTCATTTACAAATAGGCCTCCTCTCCACAATTTCAATTGTAGCTACTTAAGGAAACAAACGTCATCAATAACACCACTCGCCATTTTACCATCTAACTAATTAATAGAATACTCGGGCAGACTGCTAGAGTATCTACATAGGTAGGTACTTCTTAAAATATTAATTTTTCTCACAACTTTAGTTGTTATATTTTGAGAAAATCAATAATGTTCCTTGACGATGACACTTGGATATTTGAATTCCCTACTTATCAAAAGTATTTTGAAACCTATAAAATTAACTTTTGAACTAACTAGGTACCTAGTCTATTGCTAATGACCTTTAATGCTCTCCATAACCCTCTAATTTATTGATTACCAAGTATACCCATCCAGGTATTCGAAACGGTAATCAATAAACGCTAAAATTACCAATAATCTTCTTGTTTTTAATTATGTAATTGCTATACTGCAGTGATATCTCACAAGAATGTGTTTCTCTGAATCTCAATTGGTTTTAGATGTTTCAGGAAATACCAAGCATCAAGTTGATCAATTAAGATTCCCGTTCAAATATTATGTAACTTGAAACTCAACCTTCTTGGTTGATGATACTTTCTCAATACTCTTCATTAGGGGTAGAATTTTCTGATAAATTAGATTTTTTTGTATTCAAATATTGACACAAGTGTTTATATTCTAAATAAGCATTTGAATAAGATTTAAGAACATTCCTGTTTTGTTTATAGTTAGGTTTAAAAAAAAAAAAAACTTATAACAGAATAAATATTTTAATAAATAAATAAAAATAATAAACATCACAATAGTGAAAGAAAATAAATTATTTTGAACATCTTCTGAATAACGTTTACTTAATAAAAAATAAATCTGGTTCTATTTATTTATTCACATTCTAGGTTTAATTTTTTCAAAATTATACAGTCAAACTTGGCCTTGGGCATAACAACCAATTGGGTTTCAAAAAAGAAAAATTAAAATACTGGCAGGTCGGACTATAGGTATTGAATGAATGAGGCCACCATATAGAAAACACTCAACATTTCCAGATGACCTATTATTGAAAAAAAAATTTTTTTAATACTTATTGTGTCAGCTGTTATCTGTTTCTGATCCCCCTTTACAGTTTCTTTCATCCAAGGTTGACTGTAACAGAGTACTAATGGGCAGTAATATCACGTCGTTCTTCACCATCATTTTCACTTTCACCAATATCATCTATCTCTTCCTTTGTAATTTTCTGAGGATAAGAAGGATCAATAAAATCTTTCCATCTGGATTCGTTAAATTGTTCCTTCAAAAAATTCACTGGCCTAACTTTTTCCTTTGTATCTTCATTATTATCGGCAATTCTACAAGTTTCCTTGACGCATTTGTTGAAAATTTCTGGTTGGTCCGAGTAAAGATGGTGTCCAGCATCCTGAATAACGTCAATGTTGACATAAGAAAAATCTTCTCTTTGCTCGCGTAAAATAAATCCAGAACTTGGATCAATCCAAGAATGCTCCCCATAAAGCAAGGTAATAGGAGTCGATTCGTGAATCATGTCAAATCTGTGTACCATAGGATTTTTTGACCAACCAAATCCTTTGACAAATGAATGAAATGCTGTTTCTCCACTCGGATATTGGGAATTACATTGATAAATATACTCAGTGATTACGTCAGTATTTTCAAAAGAATCTGAATAACGTCTAGCAATATCTCCTCTCATTTTTCTTACTAAAGCTGGGCCAAGCGGACCTACAGCTCTTATAGCAGCCAAGGGATTAAAATATGTAAATGGAAACAGTATCACTCCCATAATCCTAAAGAAAGTTGGTGGTTTGTAATTTGGAGGTTTTTCGGCAAAACCCCATGGATCTGCTAGAATTAAATGTTTTACTCTAAAACAAAATACAATCAACAAAAGTTAAATTATTATTTTAGCCTAGTACCTATCAGGATGTTGCATAGTATAACTTGTAGCTAAATACCCTCCAAAACTATGGCCCAATAAAATAAACTTTTCCAACTTTACTTGTTTTCTCCATTCCTCCAAAGCATCAACCCATTGCTGCTCCGCCGATTCGCAGTCTTTAGCAAAAGTAGGTCGAGAAGATCTGCCAAAACCTTTACAAAAATATATTTTTGTTTCAAATATCCAAATTGTTTTTACCTAGTAAATCAATAGCATAAACAGGCCTATCCTTGGCGATTTCATCGAAATTTTTACACCAGAAGCCAATGGCTGCAGCAAATCCATGGAGCATTACAAGCGGGGTGTTTTTCGACTCTTCGTTCAGCGTAATGGTCCAGATTTTGTCATCTTGTCCTACCGAGGAGCCAATTGGGACGAACCATGTTTTGAACTTAGACTTTACCACTGGAACAAAAACAAAAAAAACTTTAATGATTTGAGAACAAAACCTAAAAAATGTAAAAAAATGGCATTAGAGAAGCAATGTAGTAATCGTGTGATAATTAGATAAGATGAATTACATTCCTACATTTTTCTGAAAATAATGTAGTCGAAATTCCTAGAAAGGTCTGTGATAAGCTAGTGATTGATTGACCCCATGTCCTAGACTAGAGGTTTGAGAAGTTACTGAATTAATGAAATAAGTACAAATAATGAAAGATGAGATATTGCCCGTAGACAAAATACGCAATACATGTGCTCCTCCAATGCATAAAAACTTATTACATAAGTTGATATATTATGATTTTTACCGCACATGAAATGCGTCACACTGTAAAGTTGTGGGTGTTTGAAAGTCTCGAATACAATTCTTATTGAACTGAAATAAAGACAAATTAATACGGAGAACGAAGAGAAGAAATAATTGGTTGATAATGTAGCAAGGGAGGCTATCGTATCAAAAGAGATCTTGGAACTTACTCCATATTCAGACTTTTTCGAACGAGTTTTCGAAATAATCAAAAAAAGATGTTGGGAAATTTGGCGCAGCAATTTTATTACAATGGCAGTTAACTCCCCTAATTTGTATAACTCCTTTTATTCTAGTTTTTATTTGAAAATCAAAAGTTTCGGTAATTTTCGGTGACACCGGAAGTGAATGCACAAAAATGGCGTTCCGTTAGAATATCAAGCCTACCATGTTTCGTTGATATTGATAAACGAATAGAAAAATGGCAGCCGGAAAGTAATCTCGTGGGCACCCGGTATATGAACCTTTTTCTAATACCGTGACCGTGCGTAAAGTATTCACTTTACGCACTATCCAGAAGACGTAAAATTTATTTTCATGCACTAGTACGCAAAGTAATTCCCCTCACACACACTAGTGCGTGAAGTAATTTCAATGCCAGATGCACTGTCAATTTGGTATTTTTCTGGTATACTATATTAAAATACAAGTTGCAGAAGGCCACATATTCCCGCACGAATTCGATATTTGGCCCCGACCGACGAAGGAGCGAGTGGACGAACGAATGAGTGCGAGAATAGCCTTCTGCAACGTGTGTTTTATACTATTTTCTCGATTTTGGTTTTTATTTTTAATTTTTTTAAATTTTTTTGTGGGCGCTGTTATCTGGGGAATTTTTATTTGCAAATTATGTCAGTTGGTGACACTTACTTACTGACCAACTGACAGGTGGACTCTCATTTTAGAAGGTTTGACTATCTTGAAGGTACCAATAGGTATACTTTGAAAACTAAATGTCACTAAAAATCGTTGAAGAATGAGCTTCATTCTTCAACGATTTTGCGTGCGAGAATTATGACATTCTCACACCAAAATTGAGAAAATTACTTCACGCACTAGTTCGTAAAGTGAAATTCTTTAGGCACTAGTTTGTAAAGTATTTGTCTAAATTTATTTTTTTTTTACACATATTTGATCGGTAGTAGAAAAATTTTTGTATGCAATACGTGCGCAATGCACGTTTTTTCAGGAATGTGAATTTTGTCGCACGAGCCGAAGGAGAGTGCGACAATCACATGAGTGTGTCACTTTACACACTTGTTGCATAAATAACTATTTTGAGCTGGTCAAACCATCAATATCAGTTTCACAGAGTTGTTCCTGATAAGTCCACAGTCACAAATATATGTATATTTTCAGAACATGCGTGTGAGGCAATAATTAATAAATGTCAGCTAGATGTTATACTGGGTGTCCCACCGAAAACTGTCAATGGCCTATATCTTGTAAACGGTAATCGATTTAAAAAAAAAAGAAAAACTTGTTTGGAGGATTGGATGGGGGAACCAAAACAAGGTACTTTTCAGCTCTCCCCGAACCACCCCTACGGTTATAGCCACCCTAACCTCAAAAATTCAAATGGCACTATAGGTCATGTGATACCTTGTTTTAAAGGTCTTTTAATTCTCTAGATTAGGGTTGCAGGCGTCACGCATTAGGCGTGATTGTCACGATTTTTTAATGGTTGTCACACATCACGCCTGAGTATGCGCGCGACACGCTTTTTCATAATTTCATGTAAACGCTTTCTAAATAAATTATTTATTAGTTAAAAATAGACTTGCCTCAGATCTTAATATACAGGGTGTTTGGTACATCGATAGGAATATTTCAATGAGTGATAGTTGAGATTATTTGGGAGCTGTTTGACCATATTTACCCTAATGATAAGTTGTTGTTTGCCGTTTTTTGGGATAACACCATTTTTAGATATTTTGAATCCATGTATTTCAACACATAAGTTGGGCTACCAATTATTTGTATCAATCATTCGGTTTTTTTATCCAGATTTTTCGAAAGAGTACATATTAGGAATATCGGAAAAAAAATTGAGAAAGAGTGGAGTGTTTACAACCAAAAAAAAAACAATATGTTTTAGGAATATTTCAAAAATATCTAGAAATGCTGATATCTCAAAAACGATGAAACTTTGCATAAGGGTAAATGTGGTCTCTCATTGAAATATTCCTATCGATGTACCAAACACCCTGTATACATTTTTCTCATTTACGGAAATAAAAAATTTACCCCCACTGAAGGTGACCAAATTCCTTGTGCGTGGAATAGAACTAATAAAAAAAAATAAATAAGTCCCTCCCTCCTCCCTTCGTTGTCACGCTTTTCCCTCTCGTAAATCTGGCAACCCTACTCTAGATGGATCTGCAAAAAAACTTATCTAGATTTAAATGTGACTCTAATTTTGATGAAAACCTCATTAGATCGGGTGAATAGTTTTGAAAAAATCATCAAGATTTTATTTTTTTGAACCTCTTTTCCCTCACTGCACCTGACAGTGTTCACCTGCTCAAGAGGGCCAACTTTTTAACTTGAAGAATGGGCTATTTTGTGACAATTTAAAATTGTATCTAGATAATTTTTTTTTGCAGATTCGTTTAGAGAATTTAAAAATTTTCGAACAAGCTATCACATGACTCATAGCGCCATTAAAGATTTTGAGGTTAGGGTGGCTACCGCCGTAGGGATGGTTCGGGGAGAGCTGAAAAGTACCTTGTTTTGGTTCCCCCTTGCAACCCTCCAAACAGGTTTTCTTTTTTTTTATCGATTACCGTTTTCAAGACATAGGCCATTGACACTTTTGGGTAGGACACCCGGTATATACTGACTATGTGCTAAGGAGTTCGACAAGGTAATCCATTGTATTCTGCTGGATAAACTGGTTGATCTTGGATTCTCCAAGGAAGCTTACAGTTTTATGAAATCATATCTTTTCAACAGAACTCAGGTTGTAAAAGTTGCACAGGCTAAATCAGATCAGTTTATTGCGACCTCTGGGGTACCTCAAGGTAGTAAGCTAGGACCAGGCGCGGCTCGTGAGTTTTTTTACAGGTGGGTCAAATTAAGAGGGACAGCGCCGCAGGCTAAAATAGCGCCTTAGGCGACAAATTTTTGGTATTAAACTAAATTTTTTGGCTTTAGTTTTTGTCTTTTTGTAGGAATTTAAATTTGAATATTTGAATTTCGCGCCCATTTATGGTCATTTTGAAATATGACAATTGATGACGTAGATATTGGCTCAGTTAGCGGAGGAGAGGTGTAATATCCTTGCTCCTAATTTCAAGTTATGTCTTTATGTCTTTACTTTACGTCAAGTAGAAAACAACAGGTTAGAAACCTTTTTAGAATTCGTGCAATGTTAGTAAATATTTAATTAATAAAGAAAATGAAAATACAACAACAATTTAGTTTAATTAGACCCATCCCTACATTTTAAATAAAAAATTAACTTACTTTGGGTGGGTCTAATTATTATTGTTCAAGTCGGCTGAGTCCCAACTTTAGACACGTTTGAACAACAAATCAATTCTCCTATCCTTCTGATGAGCAAAGTGGTCAATGACTAGTTCATTGAAGTTCCCAATTTTTTTGATAAATGCCTTCTCAATACTGAGCATAGCCAATGCACTCAACCTAGACTGACTGCTCTTTCGTGGTCTGGCATAAATCAAGCTTTGCTTTTTAGGCCAGGGCAGTTAGCAAAAATAGGAGAAGTTTTTGCAATCAAGCTGATTTTTTCACAGATGATAATACCCATCAATAGTAATCTGTAAAAAAAAGTTACACCTCCTAGGAGGCTTGCTTTTTCCGCCATGATGAATTAAAGACGGCGGCTGGTGCTATTCTTGAAAAAAATCGTAGCATTCTCATTTATTAACCGATTTCCGTCAAGTAAAAAAAAAAACCTTTATTTTTGAATAAAGAATAAAATGAAAATATAAAATTATTTTGACAGGTTGTATTTCTGTCAAAAAAATAAGAATAGAAATTGAATTGGTTCTCTTCAATTTTTTCTGAACCGTAGGTACTTCTTAGTAAAAAAAATTCAATAAATATGCGCTATTTTCTCTGATTTTGAAACAATTTTTGAATTTTGTGATAGGTTGAGTAATTCGCGAGATATAGGCGAAAAGAACTTGAGAATCCAAAAAAAAAAAAAAACTTATGCAGGATGTGAAAACTCAATTTTTTGTATACGTTCCCAAAAATAGCTATTTTTTGGACTCATTTCAGTCCGTAAATTGCTTCATTTCCGGCCTAGTCCGTAAATCCTCATTTTCGGCCTACAGCGTAAAATGCTCCATTTTCGGCCTAGTTCCTAAAAGTCGTCATAGCAACCTGGTCAGTTTGCATGTACCTGTCACACCTGCCAATGCATAATCAGTTTAAAATGTTTCATGTTGTTCCATTCACTTCACATCTTTGAGCTATTACAAAAAAGTATTATTTGTTTAACGTATCTAAAATATAGGTTTTTTAGGTACCTACTTGTACTTGTTACAAAAAATACATATTCTAGCTCGATTGACAAGAAAACAGTTGCCTTTGGTTTCAGTTGATTTTTTTTTCTACTGCCTTGCGTAAAGTACTTACTTTACGCACTGCTCAAACGTTAAATTAGATTTCACACGCTATTGCG